CTGCCCCCGATTGATAATTAGGTTGTAAATGTATGCAATTTAGGAATTATATATTAAGCTTATTTGAATCCTTCTTTTCCTTACCCGCCCCCCACTCCCAAAAAAATAAAAACCCAAACTTTGTCACTTAAGCATTCTAAGAGTCCTACATACTTTAGATATTTTGGACCTGTAGTGGACCATGACAGACTATACCAGAAAACCGTACACTCATGCATACATCTTTCCCTGAAATCAAGGGTGAATATTGAGCACCTAGTACTTTGGTGGATCCATGGTTTCATTAGCATGGGAAGTCTTTTCCCCACTGTAGATTTACAGCCCTTCAATGCTTTCTCATCTTGTGCTGTTCTTAACCATCTGTTTCCATAAATTCTTCAGAGAAGATCAGTCCAACTTAATGAAATCCTTCATTTCATTCTAATATCTTATTCTTTTAGTAATCTTGGGGGAATCAGCATGTCATTCATTCAGACTGTATTTTTCTGTCTTTTGTGAAGTAAGAGACAATTTATTAAGCATGCAGAATAAAATATATGTAGATTGCTTTTGGAAAAAATTAGCTGAGAAAAAATATGCAAATTGTTGTTCTCCAAAAAATGGGGAAATTCATTCATCCAAGTATCTGACAGTAAATCACACATTGACTCACAAATGACCTACGCACAGTGACCAAGATGAATGACTTGATGATTCTTAGGATTTAGAGCTAGAAGGACTTTACTAGAGACCATCTCCAATCTCTGATTTTATAGTTGGGGAAACTGAAAGGTTGTTACTTTTTCCCCTCCTTTTTTTTTTTAAATAGCTCAAATGGTACATGCTTCTGTTCATTCCTGGGAAAGTATATTGTCCTCTTTGTTCTGCTTACTTCAGTGTATGTCAAATCATGCAAGTCTTCACAGAGTTTCAGAGCTGGAAGGAACTTCAGCAGCCAAGTAATCCAATCCTTGCCTGAAAAAAGAATCCCTAACACAGCACACCCATTAAGTGGTCATTGAGCCTTTGCTTCCTGTGTTTCCCTGAACTCCTCAAAGTGATAATTTCTTACGGTGCCCCATTATATCCATTTGTCAGCTATTCCTCAATACTTGGGCCTTTACTTTGTCTCCAGTTTTTTGCTTCCATAAACAATATCGCTGATGTTTTGTCACACATGAGACCTTTCTTCCTATCTTTGACCTTCTTCACTTCCCTTTTGTTCCCAGTTGTTTACCACCAGAAAAATAGCTCCCATTTTTAGTGGTGTTGCTGGGTCAAGAGTTATAGTCACTTTTTGAGCGTGGTTCCAAATTGCTTTCCAGAATGACTGGACCAATTCACAGTTATACCAGCAGTGTATAGGTATGCTTATTTTCCCTCATCCCCTCCAACATTTGTCAGTTACCTTTTTATTAGCTTGGCCAATCTAATGACAGGTAAAGTGAAACTTGAGGATTGCTTTAATTTGCATTTCTCTGTTAGTGATTTGGAGAATCTTTTCATTTGGCTATTGATGGTTTCTGGGGTCTTTTTTTTTTAAACCTATGGTATTCAAACAAAGGACAAAGAAGATCACAGAAGCCAAAATAGATAATTAAAAAACATTTATATGAATAAGTTAAAGCACATAGAAAAAAATAAATTGTCAAGCAACAAAAAATCTTCCCATTAAGTATCTTGGTTTTATAAAAGTCCAAGATAAATAGGAAATTGGTTCAAGTATATTAGAACAAGAACCATTGCTCAGTATTTAGCTAGGCAAAGAATACTAACTGGTTTTCAAAAGAATAAATGTTTCTAGTTCAAGAGCCATGAGAGATTGCTCCAAATCACTAATAAAGGAAATTAGAATTAAAACTTTGAGGCTTTATCTCATATTGAATCAAATGGGGAAGAGTATCAAAAACAGAGTAAATGTTAAAGAAACTGTTGAGAGATATAGTGGTAAACAACTGAGAACTAAAAGAATGCCTGTCAGTTGGGGAGTGGCTGAATAAATTATGGTATATGAAAGTAATATAACACTATTATGTACTAAGAAAATGAGTAGAGGGACACATGCAGAGTAACCTAAGGAAAACTTGTATGAACTGATGCAGAGGGAAATGAGTAGAACCAGGAAAACAATTTATACAATAAAAGCATTGCAAAAATCAGCAACTTAGAAAGATTTAACTCTGATCAACACAGTGAAGAAGCAGAATTCCAGAGGGCAAATCACAAAGCATGTTCCCTACCTTCTGACTAAAAATTAATGGACTCAGGTTGCAGATTGAGACAGATGGTGGAATACCATTTAAAGATTAGTCAATCTGACTGGAACATAAAGAGTATAAAGACGAGGAATACTGTGAAATCAGCCTACAAAGATAGGGCAGGTTGTGAATGGTTTTAAAAGCCAAAGGGGATTTTGTATTTGATCCTGGGGATAGTAGGGAGCCATTGTGGTTTATTGAGTAGGGATGTGACATAGTCAGACCTGTGCTTTAGAAAGATAACTTTGACAACTGCATGAAGGGCAGACTAGAGTCAGACTTGAGTTAGGGAGAGCAGCCAGAAGGCCACTACAGTAGTCTGGGCCTGAGATGATAAAAGCTCGCACCAGCATAGTGGCAGTGGCAGAGGACATAGAAAAGTAAATACACAAGTTGTTGTGAAGGTAGAATCAGTAGGATTCAGCAACATAACGAACAGGCAGAAGTTAAGAGTGAAGAGTCAAGGGTGCTATCTGGCATGTGAACTTGGGTGACTGGGATGATGGTGGTGCCCTTGACAGTAAAGGAGAGTTTAAGGAAAAGAGAGGATTTGGGGGGAAAGATAATAAGTTCATTTTTGGATATTTTGAGTTCAGGGTGTCTACAGGTCATTCATTTCCAGATATCCAATAAGCAGTTATCGATGGGACGCTAAAGGTTAGCAGAAAAGTTAGGGCTGGGTAAACTGATTTCAGAATCATCAGCATAGAGATGATTAATTGAACCATAGGAACTAATGAGATCATCAAGCAAAATAGTGTAGAGGAGTGGGCTCAGGACAGAACTGTGGGGCCCCCCCACAGTTAACAGCAGTTAACAATGTGAAAGTTGGTCAGTGTTGCAAAAACCTAGAAGAAAGTATGATGGAGAAGAGGGTGATCAACGTGTCAGGCTTCAGAGAGATCAAGAAAGATGAGGATTGAAAAAAAAGGCCATTAGATTTGGCAGTTCAGAGGCCATTGATACCTTTGGAGAGAACAGTTTCCCACCCTTAGGAATCAGTATGTGAATGATGATCTATCAAAGAAGGCTGAGGAGGAACTGTCAGACAGTGACCAACACTAGAGAGAGGGCAACAAGAATGAGGACCGGGGAAAGACCATTGGATTTAATGAAAGAGTTTTCAACTAGTTAATTGTAGGGTTATCCATTTTTCAATGTTTTCTGCATTATAAGTAATCATTAATTATTGATTATTGATTATTAAACTATTAATTAAAATTAAAGAAGTAGTCCTTTTATAGTAAATCTGTAAGTATATCTTGTATCCCTTATATCACAAATTGAATGTAAATGTAATCTTGATCCTTTGAATTTTTTTGAATGTACGAGGGAACCTTGACTCATACCACTGAAAAAATTTCTGGTCATCTATCCTAAGCACTGACTTTTCCCCAAGGCTGCGTTTCATATTATTGCTACGTCGTTCTTCACTCTTGTTCTTTACTGTGTCTTAAAGAACACATGGCCCTTCTCCAGCTGCTGTTTTTGTGCCCTTCCTTCATGTGCTTGCCCTTTCAGTTACTGCTCCCTTTTCCTAATGCTTGGTTATCAGCTGTCTCCAACTACTTACAAATACTCCTAGATCTCTTGCATTCCACCTCTGGGACCCTGTGTCCCTGCTCCCTTCCACAGCCAATACCTAGAAAAGGTATGCTTAACTATATGTGTATCGTGGACTTCTGGCATTCTAGTGAAACCTAATGATCCTTTCACAAATGCACCAAGACAGCAAACTATTTTGAAATGCTGTTACCCGGTTTGTGTTTCACAGGTTAATAATTTCTGACCTAGAAGAAGCTATTTACATTCCTTGCATCCATCTTCTAACTTCATCCCTCAACTGAAGCTGCTGTCTTCAAAGTTGGAATTGTCAAATCAGATGGCTTTTTCTCATTGCTCTTCTGTAAACCACTCTCTACTGCTGGACATTCTCTTGCCTGTGTCTTTACAACAATGCTCTCTCTTGACTCTGCCTCCCTCTGTTTACTTGCTACTTCTCATTGTCCTTGGATGTGTCTTCTTCCATTTCCTACTCTCTCTACATGGTATGCCCAGGGGCTCTACCTTTTGCCCTTTTCTCCTTTCGTTACACCCTCTGCTTTGGCAGTTTCATCAGCTCCAGTGAGTTTAACCATCATCTCTTTGCTAACTCTTAGCTCTATATATCTAGCTCCAGTTTCTTGGACTCCAGTCCAACTTCATCAGCTGCCTATTGGACATCTTAAACTTCACATATATATAGGAAAGTACTAATTTTCTTTCACACCAAATTCTTAATAAAGGAAACCCATTCTGATCCCCTCCCCACCATACTTTGTAAATATTTTTCACTTGATTTTTGTATTGTATTTAATTTTCCTTGTCAGTGTTGTTTCTCCAGACCCCATCTTCCTTCCCTCCCCTTCCCCCCACATCCCCTCTCAATCCAATAGAATGTAAACTCTTTTGAGGAAAAGGATTTTCAGTTTTTGTCTTTGTATTCCCAGGGCCTAGCCCAATGCCTAATAGATGTTTGTTGAAGGAAGTCCCGCCAAAAAAAAAAACAAACCCTTTTCTTTGTGAAAATTGATCCCCGTTTTTTAAAAACTGTGGGTCCATGGTGGTTCAGTTGATATTTTCAATTTGTCATAATGAGACAAACATTTTTGTCACACTGTTTAAAGTTAAGTCTGTGTCTGATATTTGGATAAATTTATATGCTATGTGGATGCAAGCTTTTCTTGAGAGTAATAATTGCATTAATTTTTTCTCCCTAAATAGAAAGAACTTTGCAACATGATACTTGACTGCTGTGCCCAACAGAGGACATATGAGAAATTTTTTGGCTTGTTGGCAGGGGTGAGTTTCACATTTCAGACTTTGAGTCATAACAAGGATACAGCTACTTTGTTGTTTTTTTATCATGAATAGTATGGACTAACCAACGATTTTGTTTTAATTTTTTAAAAAAAGAGAAGTTTAAAGCTAGTTTAAATTTCACTATCTCATGTAAGATTTTCCCAGTCCCACTCCCAACTGCACACTTTCCTATGTATCACCCTGTTGCTTGGAACACCCTGACATTGCAACACAGTGAACCATCCTTCCAAGGCTTTTGGAAATTTCTACTTCTTCCTGGCAGTTTTCCCATCCTAATATAATTAAGTATATGTTTTGTTTTGTATTCCCTCAGTTCCTCGTGTCAGGCAGCATAGTCATGGGGCCAGGAAATATTAATTTTAAAACCTGTACTTTTTCATCTTCTAGGCCCAACTCCTATTGTAATACTGCTTCTCTGTACAAATACCTGCATCTCTAATCTTTTGCAGATATAACTTTATTTTAACACAGGTGGGGAAACTGTGGCCTTGGGGCCACATGTGGCCCTTTGACTGAATCCAAGGTTCAATAAATCGGTGATCACCTTAATCACTTTAATAAAAGGATTTGTTCTGTAAAACTTGAAATCAGTCAGAAGGGTACACCCAAGGATCTGGAAGGCCACATGTGACCTCGAGGCAACAGGTTCCCCCACCCCTGAATCTATCAAATATTACATATCAACATATATGTATATGCATCATTTGATGTAAAAAATGTACAATTTAATTTATTAATTTCTTTGGGGGAGTCATACTCAGAACTCATTCTATTTGTTTTTATTCTTCCAGCGTTTCTGCATGCTGAAAAAGGAATACATGGAATCCTTTGAGGGTATTTTCAAAGAACAATATGATACCATACATCGCTTGGAAACAAACAAATTGCGAAATGTTGCCAAGATGTTTGCTCATCTCTTATATACTGATTCACTTCCATGGAGTGTGAGTAGTAAGATGTACATTCCAGCTTTCTCCCAAATTCTTTATTATTCTTAAATAAGATTTTAAAAAAATCTAGCCATAATTTTACTTTTGAGGAAATAAACTTTCAAATGAAATGTATGCTTTACTGCTATTGAAAGTTCTACCTGTAGGCATTTTTCTCACAAGAAAAGTCCTAAAAAACTGAGTAGTTAACATAAGTACCATGCCATCCAGCATCATTCCAAGGGACTTTCTCTGATAGATACTCTTATCTCTGATAGTGCCTTTAAGGATGTCTTTAGGAGACTATCTCCTCTTCATTACAATGATCACAAAAGTGTAAAAATGTTCTGCATAGATCTCTAAGTAAACTGTCATTAGATTGTAATCTGTAAAATTTATTTAAAGAAAAACCTTCTTGAAACATCTTGACATTTTTAGGCTTTACAACCTATGGGCCTATTTAGTGTAAAATATTTTTTGTTTATTGTGTAAAGTTAGCGATGCCTGGCATATTGAGCTTGTGACTCAAGCAGAGCAGTAACAATCTTGTATTTCTCAGAGCAGATCACCTGGGAAGCCACTCACTTAAAGTGCCATCTTTCGGGATGATGGATAGAGTTGGATGAGTTACTTGACCCCTCCTTTTTTCTGCCCCTAACATGACTAGGATCAGTATAATATGAAGTAGGAAGAGATAGGTTCCTGTCCTGAGTTGGAATTCCATTTTTCCATAGAAATAATGTTACAAATAATAGATATTCTCAAACATGGAGTTAATTAGACTTTTGTGAGTTGAGCTTGGGATTGTAACACCTATTTATGACATAATTTCTATAAGATAATACCTTAAACTAATTTTTAAGTACAAGCTACTCATAGATTGGAAACTGCCTTTAATTTTTTGTAAAACTTAATTCCTTCATGGAGCAAAGAATGGTTCCCATTCCATCCCACTGGTATTCTGAATAGCTTCGTGTTCATGCTATCCTCACTTTTAATGATTTTATAGTCTTAGTATTTGAATATGTGCCACATATTGTGCAAGATCCTATACTACACACATACATATACATAGTGATGTTATTTTTTGCAAAACTCCAAAGTTTTTAGGAGCTAATAATCCTTGCTTCATCATTATATAATGAAAAAACCAGAATGTCCTGACATAAAAGCATGTTAAAAATTAGAAAATGTTAAAACCGGCAGCAACTTTTGAGGCTATTGTTGGCGTGACCCCTTCGTTAGACTTATAAGAAAACTGAGGCCTGAAGATGTGAAACCACTTGCTTTGGTCACACATCATTTCACTTGGCAGAGCTAGGCTTAGACGTCCAGAGTCCCCTTCTCTGGTACTTCCAGTTGTCCTCTTCAAGGAAGAAAATGAGCCTATCATAGGATCTCCTTTGTGTTTTGAAAACTAGTGCAGGGAAATTCTTTTAAACTTAGCCAAGTGGTCATGTATATAAAAATCAGGTAGTTCTAGTCAAAGACTTTCCGATGTAAGGTTAACATTTGCTATGATTTTTAATATCACTTGTAGGTATAGATAATAGAATCTCAGAAATGGAAGCAGTCTCTAAACCATCTAATCAGACCTGAATCTGATGTTTCCTTTGTTTCCGTCTTTTGAAAACTAAAGTAAAATTGTCTGCTTTTTTTCTCATTTTCAGGTTCTTGAATGTATAACATTGAGTGAAGAAACTACTACGTCTTCCAGCAGAATTTTTGTCAAAATATTTTTTCAAGAACTTTGTGAATACATGGGACTTCCTAAACTTAATGCAAGACTGAAGGATGAGTAAGAGGATGATTTTTTTATTCATTCTTTATCACTGTTGGGGATCCTACCTTTTGTACATCTCCTTCTTTCACCTGCTATCCCCCACACACAATAAAGCCCAATTTTAAAACCATGAATAGCAAGTTCACTTAGGTGAGTCTTTGAAATCCTGAAAGCCATGGCTTAGAGTAGATGGCCTATATCAGTGATTTGAATCAAAGTCAACAAACCTGGGAAAAGGAACACTAAATTCATACTACATACATGAGTTCACTCTACTTCTTTAAGTTGAACTTTTTGCACATTATTTATTTACATTTTGTCCTCGATGTTTTTGCTTTTCTTTCTCATATATACCTCTTTTTTATGTACACATGTAGAGTTTAACACACCCATCATAGTTTCAAGAGCTTATCCATATTATTTTATTATACTGGAATTTTATTGTATTAAGTATAAATAAATGATTCACTAGCTAGGCCTTTGAAATCTGTGTAAGATTTTAATTGTGACAAGTTTTGACCTATAACTTTTTTGTAAAGGATGATTGATTAAGGTAATGTCATTTCTTTGTTGAGTTTATGGATATTGATAGTGACTTTAATCTGGAATTAAAATACTAAAACTTCCCTTGTAAAAATTTGATGGAAATTAATGAATTAAATGATACTTTGGCAGATAAAGAACTTTCTATCCATGCCTCACAGTAGTACTTTTGCTTGTGGGCTTCATTAAATATTAAGAAAAATATTTAATAGTTTTAAGTCCGTATGTACAAACATTCATAACATACCACTTTAAAGTTATATTTATGTTGTACTGATACGATGTTTCTCCTCTAAGATTTTGATAGTTTTCTGTTAACTAGCAGTTAAGAATAGTTTTATAATTTACCCTTGAGTTCACTGGGTTTTTTATAATTCTTTATAAATCATTTACTAGTAGGAAGATTTAAAACTCTTGTATACCACATACTGTCACTGTTAACATTATTATCATTAACTTTCATTTATCCAGCATGTCCCAAAAGTCTTAGTGCAATTTTAAACTTTAATAACTTCAGAAGTATAACTGCTGCAAACTTTAAAAAAAATTATTTGAAAGTTTAAATATTTAAATTTCTCTTTAACTTGTTTAGCTTGGTAAATTTTAGATTATAAATTTTTAATTTTAACAAGCATACACCTTGTCATTGTACATTGATTGTACAATAGTTTCTGGATGACCCTTTCTCAGACTGGTAGATCAGTAGAGGAATTCATCTTGCCTAGCCACCTTGGACATTTGATCTATCTCCATTAGTGGAGTAACATCAAAACTTCATTTTTAGAATGATCTTAAGACTAGGATAACAAATACAAACCTTTAGGTCACTGAGCAGCAACTGATGAACATTTCTACAAAGTTTGAAGATTGTAGCAATTATAGCACAAGACTGTAGTCATGTTGGATTTTAATAAACATATCAATATTTAAAACTTTAATTAACTTTTCATATGTTGTTTTATAAGTTTGTAGTGCTTATATTTCTGAACTAATTAAAATGTGAAAACTGTGCCAACAACCTCTCTATCACTTTATGGTTACAAAGCACCTTCACATCCATGATTTGTTCCTCACAGCAACCCTGTGAAGTAGGTAGTGTTAAGTACTTACCCCATTTTGCAGATGAAGAAACAAAGCCTCATAGAGCTTTACATGATTTGTTCAGGGTTTTGCTGAAATTACCTGGTGACTCCACAAGAGAAAGTTGAATTTTCTTTTCACTGTACCCCACTATCTCACAATCAAGCCGCTCATGTGATGATTTGCTGTTGTTGGTTTCATGCAAACCTAGTCTAATATACTGCTGAGGAAATTACTTATTTGGTTGTGCTGTATGTACTACTACTACTTTAAACTTTGCAATACATTTTCAGATGATTTCTATAAAAAAAATTTGTATTGCAGTATTCGAGTTATATGATACATTCAATTTCTGTTCTGATTCTTATCTTTATTAGAACGTTGCAGCCATTCTTTGAAGGTTTACTCCCCCGAGATAATCCACGAAATACTCGGTTTGCCATCAACTTCTTTACTTCCATAGGTCTTGGAGGCTTAACGTAAGACGTTTCATTCTTTCTGAACTTCTATTGCATTTTAATTGTATATTCTTTAAAGTTAAAATTAATCAGTACTTGTTTTTGAAAAAAAAAAAAGTAAATGAAATTTTCTTGTGTAGGGATGAATTACGAGAACATCTAAAAAACGTACCCAAGATCGTCATAGCAAAGAAACAGGATGTGGAATCATCAGATTCCTCCTCTTCCTCCTCTTCCTCTTCGGATTCCGACTCCTCAGACTCTGATTCTGACAGCAGCAATAGCAGCTCAGACTCATCCAGTGGCAGTGACTCCTCGTCCACAAGTGGCCAGAGCTCTGACTCAGGTACTAAAAACGAGTATCTGAAGTTGGCTTTGCCTCTGCCTCTTCTATCGCATGTGTACTCGTGATGTTTTGTATGAAGTTGGGTTATTTCAGGGTTCAGTATTTTAGGTCAGTATTTCCCTATATGATATTTGTAATGCAGCAGTTTACTTATTTTAATCTTTTTTTTTTTAAGACAATAAGTCATTCAGCCAACATTTTATTAAGCACTTATTCAGTTCCAGGTCACACTGTAGTAGATGCTGGAGATCAGGAACAAAAATGAAATTGTCTTAGCCTTCAAGGAACTTACGCTGTCTTGAGGGGGCACAACAAGTAGATAGAAAATTAAATACAAAGTAGTTACAAAATGATTTCCCAAGGGAGAGAATACTGTCAATTCTGGAGATAGGCTAGTCTGTGATCATATTTTATTGAAAAAAGTTTCCTTGATATTCTGAAATGCCATGGCATTTATGATCCAGGGGACTTCGTGATACATACACACTCCTCATAATTGTCCCTTTTGGCATAGGAAAAACTGTTAAAGGTTCTTAGGTTTGCATTGTATGAAGCATTCTAGCTTTAGTTCTTCCTTGATCCCCATTGTTGTTTTCACCTTGTATCAGTTCTGTGTTCTTTCTTAATGGCTTCTTAGGTTACCATACCTATGGATTGTATCCTGTTCTTTTAGTCCAGTGGACTGGGAGGCAGTGCAGCATTTTGCCATGCAACATCAAGTCAGATAGATGGCCTTGCCATTTCCTAGCTCCTGGAAAGTTTCTGGGGATGTAGTACTCTTTTTCAGATGTGAGCAAGCAATATGACAGTCAGAAGTATGGGGGCCCATTATGTTTTTGAGAAAAGATGTTTTATTTTCTGATGAAAAGCCTATTTTTGACACAATGTATGATAAATATTGGTCATTTAATGTTCACCTAGTCTGACTCTAAAAAAAAACTTATTCTTTCATTGAGTCTGTTTTGGGACCAGATGATAACACAGCATGAATTTCTGTAGTAAGGAAGCTTGCTGATTCAAAATTAATTTGATTTATTATATGATTTCAACAGTGAATTTTTGTAAATAAATCAATAAGCATTATATAGGCAAGACGAATTATGCATATGGCATAACATCGTTATGATGAAATTGTCGCAAGTTTATAAGGCTGGCAATACCTGAAGTCATTGTTTATCATTGTAAAGTCAGAGGGTTATGATAGTAAAGCACAAGGTGAGGGCATGGTGTATCAGGGTCAGAGAGATGTTGGTTCTGCCGAGAGCCAGATGGCTTCTGCATGGACAGCTGCAGCACAGTTGAGCTGCTTGATGGGAACCAGAGAGGTGAGTCCTTAGTGACAAACTGACTGATTCTGCAGTCTGCTGGGGTAAATGTTGGGAAGGGAATGATGAAGGTGGGTTTGGAGTGGCAGTATTTTTTATTTAGGATATTTTTCTACCATATTTTCATTTGGCTATGCATGAGCCAATGCCATAAAGAGAATAATTTTGTTCATCTCAGCAGTTTACTTTGTTTTATGTACCCTAACTGGAGAAGCATAGCAAAAATGATGAAATATTGGGTCATAACTAAAATTTGAGATAAACATACTTATTTTTATGACTTACTATTCATAAATGGTCTAAGTTATTTTGAGATATTTTCTCAGAAAGTAAATGCTTATTAATTATGGTTTTATATTTTAATAGAGCTTAATGTTCTGTTTCATCAGTATAGTTAGTTAATGCTGCTCTTATAGTACATGAAAACAAAACTGTTTCTGCCATGTTAAGGATCTTAATTTGAAGAAAAAAGAAAATGTTTTTGGCTACTCTGCTAATAATGTTCCAGTTCACTTAACAGAAGCACATCAAGGCCCTAAATGTCTCTCAGAGGTGTTCTTATTTATTATTGTTCTGTATGTGTACTTGTGAGAACTACATCTCATCAAATTGTTAAGTAATTTGCAACTCTCAAACCTCCCTATAACACTCTATCACGGACTTTTAAAAAAGTGTCTGTGGCTGAGTATGGTAGCATTATGCCTGTAATCTCTCATCTGGGGAGTCTGAAGCTGGTGGATCACGTGAGCTCAAGGGTTCTGAAGTACAGGAGGGCTAACGCTGATCACATGTCCACACTACAACGGGCAGAAGGAGCAGATCAGAGCGCTAATGCATATCATTAGCTTGGTCAAGTTAAGGGGAGACAGTCTTAAAAAAGAGTAGAGCCTACAAAAAATTCTAAACTTAAAAGTAATAGAATCTTTAGTTGAATCTAAGCTCCTGAAGGGCCAGAATGAGGTTTTCATTTTGTCTGTGTGTCCCCACTTGCTGGTGCGGTGCTTGGCACGTAGTCAGCACTTCATGAATATTTACTTGAATAGAAGAATATAACAGACTGTTTAATGTATCACTCCATTTCCCACATCTTCCAAAAATATTGCTGTCTTTGTTGTCTTTCCTTGTTTTGATTCCCGGCAGATCTGGCACAGTATCCCTTATCGCTGAGGAGAGAATGGAACCTGTGTGGGCTTTCTTTTACTTCTCAGGCACAACTAACTTCATTTTGGAAAAACAGTTGTAAGGAATGCATAGAAGTCTCATCAGTGGTATAGAATCTGTCATCTTTCTCTTTAGTTTATCTATAAGAAACAAAACAAAGAGGATTAGAGTGACATTCTATACTTATTATTTTGTGCCTGAGGATCACAGTCATGACCCTTTAAAAAATAGCTAAAATTCAGAGGTTTTCCTCCATTAAACTTGGCTTTCATCCCATTTCGCCTGAGATTAATGAAATTTTACTCTATTGGGCAAGCTGTGAAGAGTATTATTTTTATGTATTATCATAAATTAAGACATAAGATTAAAATAAATGTTAATTAACATGTATTTTATGCTTTCACTTTTAGATAAAGATAAGAGGAAAAAAGAACAAAGAAAAAAGAAAAATAAAGAAACAGATAAAACAATTAAGAAAAAGAAAACAAATGAAAAGAAACACGTGGAAAATAAAATGGAAAAAAGACAGCAAGAGACAAAAACTGAAGAAGACAGAAGATCAGAAAAAATTACAGACCGAAATTTAAGAGATTCAAATTGGAGAGAGAACTCATCAAAACATGCCCCTGACAGAGATACTACCACAGAACAAAACAATTACAGGATTTTAAAGGACAGAGATCATGATAAATACATAGAGCCAGAAAATAAATCTGGTGATACCAAGAAGAGAAGAGGACAAAGAAGGAATTCCTTTTCTGAAAATGAAAGAGAAAAACACCGAAACAAAGACAGTGAGAATCATAGGAGGAAAGAGAGATCGAAGTCAAGAGAAAGGAGTAGAAGTCATCCAAACCCCAGAGATGAGGAAGATCGACGTTGGAATGGTGCAGAAAAGGAATCTGAAAAACACAGCAGACGTGAGCAATCCCGAGAGTCAAAGAGGAGCTGTGATCGCCGAAGAGAAAACTCTCCAGCAAGGCGAAAATAATACTGAAATGCCTTACATTCAGTCTGAACTGAATTTTTTTACATTTATTGCTGAACTTTATTTCAAAAAAGAACCTTTGTATAAAGTACTCATTTGTATTATACATTTTTAAGAGGTTTTCATTGAAAGATGTTTTATAATCTCCTCCCCCCCCCAAAAAAAAACCAAAAACCTTCCCCCCTTGGTTAAACATATTTGAAGAGAACATTTTCATTTAAGAGAAGAACATAATGCTTGCTTATATTTTGTGAATAAAATTGTCAAACTCTCATTGAATCGGTGTATGTATCAGTAAAAAAATTATTTTTCTGTAAATATTTTCTGATAGTCTGAGGACATAATAATATGAATTTATTCATTGGGTTTTTTTGTTGTAGTTTTTAAAAGTTAAAGACTTAATTATAAGTTTCATATTACATCTTGTACAAATATAGACAAGCCCAGTTTTTCCCCCTCCCAGGAGTATTTTGTTGGTTAGGTGAATGTTATGTTTAAATGATCCTCACGTTACATCATATATCAGCTATGACCTCATTTACTTTATCAATAACAGATCTTCTAGCTGGATTTAAGTTTTCTACAGCACCATTCTTACAAAATTTCTACAGCACCAGTCTTACAAAATATTATTTCAGCAAGGTAATATATTTATTTTTAATGGGGATTAAGATATCATTGTGAAAGGACATGTAGTTATGAGAAATTTGAACACCGTAACTGTGAAATTATTCACATTGTTTTGTGTGGATAATTTTAAAGGTTTTCATCATTGTAATTCTCGCCATTTGAAACATATCAACTTATTTTTATATTTTTTAAAATAAAATCTTCCCTCTGAGAAACCAGATTTTCTGACACACATTTTCCCTTGTTTTCTATTAGTTATCTCAAAGGAATGAAACTCATTTTAACCAATTCAAATTCTCTTAATAATATTTTGTCTTTAGCATGCAGTGATTCAAATTTCTGACTTTTGTTATAAAACCTGGGCATAAAAAACACATAACTAAAGATGAGTTAACAGTGCCAAAGTAATCTTTTGGTTAATGTAAGTTCAGTCATCTGTTTAATTGGGATATTAGTGTATAGACTGATAAATCTGGAAGGAACTTACATTGTTTTGGACCATCCCTCTGACCAAGATATCACATCCAGACCAACCCAAGAGGATGCAAATATAGCCTTTTAGAAAAAATTGAGTATAATAAAAGTAGGTACCAACACATACATTGAGAGCTCAAGGCACTGAGATATTAACATGGTAAAGTTACTAAAATCTCCAAGTTCATCCTGTATAAAAATTGACCATGCTATCTAGCAAATCTGCAGGTATTTCCTTAATGCAAACAAATACAAGTAATAGTGATGCATTTACAGAAAGGAGAGGAGGGGTGTAAGTGCCATTTCAGCCTAAAGTAAAGAATGCCAAAATTCAATATTAATGTTTTAAAGAAGATATATCACAGATTGTCACATTTATTTTAATACTAACACAAATTAACTTTCAAAAGATGTTTTAAGTGGAAAGCTGAGCAATAATATGTATATAATTTTTTGAACCTCAGTTTAATCTTAGGGGTTAGACTAAATTATCTGTTAAGGGCCCTTCTAAAGCTTGGCACATGTACATAGCACATCCTTAAATAGTAAGCTAAATTAAAAGGCCTTCAATAAAAGTTCTTCCTGTATTTTACAGATATATTCCTTTCTACTAAAATGAAATGTCTATATTTGGAAGGCATTTTGTGAGAAACATACACACAAGCTCCTACATAAATTTTTAACATTTCTCAATGAGAATTGCTTTCATTAAGTAAACCCCTATTAATCACCTGTACTAGGTTAGGTACTGAGATACTCAGGAGAGAAGTAATGAGATATAAATAAAATACCATCTTTATTTGGAAATGACACTGATTTAAAAACTACCAGTGTTTAAATCCCTGTCAGCTCACAATCTAGCAAGGATGAATATGTACAGATCAATAATTGAAGCTTACGCTTATTAGGCTTTTCTCATGTATTGGTGGTTAAAATGTGAATATTTGTAAGAGGAGCCACATTACTAATGTGTAGTACAGAATTAGGTCAGTGAAGGATTTTAATAACCAGCATTTGATGATGAGTTATTTTTCAAAGAGAAATGAACAATTTAGTTTGCTTATTCATTGTATTTAACCAGTGTGATCAAAATCAAGATTTGAGGGGACAGTGGACTAGAAATGATAGCCAATCTTCTCTTAGTTATTTAACATTGGACAAGATAATGTCTCTAAATGTTAAAAATGGGTCTATATGCTTGCAATGAAGTATTAGAAATACAATATCTTCAAATGGAATTATCTATCAAAGCAATAGTATTAGCCATTTCTTTTATTATCTTGGATGAAGTATCCCAATAGTTTGCTGAAGGTCAGTCTTGCTATTAAGTTCCAACTTTAATTGAATCCTTTATTTACATTCACTACCCTATTTACTCTTGCCTAAGCTCAGCTTGTAGGCTAACAAAAAAGTCACTTGAATACTCATCCAGAAAGGTATGAATTTCAGTATGTAAGAGGTTATATAGAACCATGATGTCAAACTCAAGTAGAAATGGGTTGACTAATCTATACCTAAGGATCCCTGCAAGCCACATGTTGACTTAATATTAAAATGTAATTAACCCAAGTTTTATTGTATTTTTATTTATTTTGTTAAGTAATTCCCAGTTACGTTTTAATCTGACTCCAGGGTGTCGTGGGCCACTTGTGCTCCGATGGAATAAGGAAGGAGTTGAACAGGTGAGCCGATGGGAAAACCAGACAGCTTCAGTTCCAGGCAGTGTAATATCATCATAGAATTTGAAGTGTCATGTATACTGAGAACATCAGACATTGCCACATTTAAATGCAGTGTATTACATGTTCAACTTGTTTTTAGTAAGATTTGAAATGACACTCCTCACTAAAGCACCTAACGGTTGTTTCCTTCAGGGTTTCCTAGTAATCCAATAAGAAAGTGTTGTCCCAAGTTTATTGATGCCAACTTCTCCTTCCCCCAAGACAAGGCAAGGTAGCTGTAAGACTCAGGAAGTATTTTAGAAAATGCACAACTCTGGGAGCTACCTACATCTAGGTAGAGTTATGAGCTTGATTAAAGTCGATGTGGAGGGAAATTATTCTTTTGCAGGGGATTACATTCTCTAGTGCAGAATTCTAAACCTTTTTATGTTATGAACTTGTTTGGCGGGCAAGTCAACAGGTCCCTTCTCATTAAGGTTTTAAATGCATAAAATATACAAGATTATAAATCAAATTGGTTATATTGAAATATAATGTGTATATGTAATAATAAATACACATACATGAACACATTTATGTTTCACAGACTCCAGGTTAAGAATACATACAGTGCAAGGGGAAAATTCAGATCTCTTGACTGACAGTTCTACAGCATAATGACTCTTATTTACTCCCAAGTGTGACAGCATGCAAATTTTATGAAAGAAGCAATACTTACTGACTAAAAAATTTTTCCTGGAATCAAGGTGTGATAAAGGTAACAATACTCAAATTTTTAATTCCCAGATGTAGAAATTCCATAGTACTGTCTGTGTGACCAAAGCTATGAACTTTCAAATGGGTAGTTCTTCACTAGAGAAGGTTTTGTTAATTTCAGGTAAGTATATCCCTGGTTTTCTAGCATTTAAACAGTCCCATACTGATTTGACAAATCTTTGGTGCTTACTGTCCTTGGGGGAGACTAACAAAAAATGTCATGATGCAGTCCTTGCTCTCATGGAGTTTGCTGTCTTTTGGCAGCGGAGAGGGAGGGAGAGGGTTACCATACCTGCACAAATAATTTATAAATTTATATTAATATAAATATATGTTATAAATAACAAAGGAGCAAAGAAAGGTGTGAGTGAAAATTGAGAAAGCAAAAGTAACTGAAGGAGGATCAGTGAAGCTTCAACGAAGTTGCATTTGAGTTTAATTTAAAAAGACTAAGCAGAATTTGACAGGGGAAGAAGAGTAGAAAGGCCATTGTAGGCATAGAGAACTATAAAAGCACAGAGCAGTTGTTCAGTTCTGCTCAAGCATAACCTGTTGGAATTGGAAGGTAATTGTTCAGAATGATAGATAATTCTGGAATGGCAGAATGGTGCCTGATTATGGAAGGCCTTGAATGGCAGACAAAGGGGTTTGAACTTGGTAGCCACTTAAGATTTTCTAATAATAGGAGTGAGATGATCAGATCTATTAATATTTTATTGGATCTGTTATCTCTATTCAGCAGTTCTCTCCAACAATGCAGATTTCAACCCATCCGTGGCTGCTCATCCTATGCAACTTTCCCCGCCCCCCAATGTCCACTAAAAATTCACTACAATAAGCCAACCCAGCATCCTGAAGGCCTTCCTAGATTTCGCCCAACCCTGCTGAGGTTACCAGTAGAACATTCAGGCAGTCTATCTGTCATTCCTTTCTCTTGCTATGTGACTAGTCCATCTCTTTCTGTTCAAACAGTTCTTTGATAGTCCTTTTCATCTTTCAAGTTTCTCCTCAATTATACATTATAGCTAGCTCTCACCTGTTATTCATCTATGAATAAAAAGTATTCATCTGGCAGCATTATGAAGGATTAAAGAAGATATAGAATATTTTCAACTTTCATCTCTTTGATTCTCAATTTCTATTTTGGTGTTTAATTGGGAGTCTTTATTGATTTTTCTAGAATTCAGTTGAATTCTTAATCCATTTAAATTTTATTTCCCTTTTTTGTTAATAAAAGTATTTAGAGATAAATTTTCCCATAAGGACTGCTCTCTCTACATCCCACAAATTTTCATATGTTGTCTCGTCTTATTTAATGAAAGAATCACTTCCATAATTTGTTCTTTGGCCCACAAATTCTAAGTTATAAAGCCTCCAGTTGCTTTTTAATACCTTTTTTTTTTTCCTAGCAGCTCTTTAATTTTTATTCCATTGTGGTCAGGAAATGATGTAATATTTCTACTTTTCTTCATGTTTTCTGATGTTTTTAACATCCTAATACATGATTTATTTGTGTTAAAGTACTGAAAATATGTATACTCTTCTCTATTTCCCTTCAATAGTCACCAGAGGTTGAGCATTTCTAATATTTCTAAAATTGTATTCAGGTTCTTAATTTTTTTTTCTTTTTTCTTTTTTTGTTAGATTTATGTGGGGCTAATAGGAGTAAATTAAGGTTCCCCATTATTATTGTTTCATTGTCAATTTCTCCTTGTAATTTGCTGAACTTTTCTTTTA